ACACAATTAACATGATAATGGCAGAAGCCATTGGTAGAAGACCTAACAAACCTAACCCAGGTATGTTAGGTCAGGTTCTGCGACATTGTTTCCATTTTTGCGATCAATACCACGATATGTGAAGTGAACTTTTTAACAATTCTGGATAATTTTCTGGTAGCTCAAATCTACAGTAGTACACCTTACCAATCGAACTTCATTGTTTGGTCATAATATCGTTTTCGAGGAAAAGATCAGTTTGACCGAACAAATTATCGAACATCCTCAAGTTTCAGGAAAATTCGGCGGAGCTGTTGAAAATGTTAACTCTTTAGGTGACTGGAAGGTGCTCTGTGTAACAGCGTACTTCCAGCTATAAATCTCATACTCACCTTGAACAGTGAATCTGGAAGTTAGGAAAGCAGATAGAGGGTAGAAACAAATTTAGATTGAGTGTAATATTATGAATAGCAAATATCCATAAATATAGCGTTCACTGGTTAGGGTACCAAAGATTTTTATACATTCAGTTTTGACTCGTTCCTGGAGATGTATAAAAACGTACCAAATTAACTGGACTTAAGCTAAATTAAAAGAAAAAGATATATATATATATATATATATATATATATATATATATATATATATATATATATATATATATATATATATATATATATATATATATATATATATATATATATATATAGTCCAAAATCATATTACATATGATTACTACAGACTATGTTCACTTTAGTACCAGACGCAAACAACTTAATAATATAGTTTCGTGAATATCAACACTGAAGCAGTATTGGTGAGAGAAATGTTAATGTAAAGAATAGCTAAGTGGGGTAGGGGAGTGTTAGGGCTTCACGAGTTAATTAGGGAGAGGAGGTGTTATCGGGGAGTTGGTGTTAAGGGCAGAACTAGTAATGTGTCAAGACTGTGTATTCACTATAAATGAGGACTTTGAGTCGTATATATAGTGTGAGTCGTATATTTTTTCATGATTTCGTATTATGAGAGTCATGAATCCATCCTCTTAAAAAAAATAGTGTGAATTATTCTATAGGAATAATAATTACACTAATATAAATGCTATAAAATAGTGGTATGATGAACAGACGCCTGCATTATAAACAATATGTTCACGCCAAATCAATTTTAAAACCTATACGGTGATTTTATTAATAATAATACTAATACATATTAATATAATTTTTTCCCCAAATTTACGAAATCAACGTAAAATCTTCCAAAAATACTGCAACTTTAACGTTTGAGCGTTTATAGATTTTTATTATAAAATGTACTATGTTGGTATAATTTGTATCGCAGTTCAATTTGCAAAGTACGTAACCGAGACTGACCGATCGCCCAAGCAACCCCAACCAGCCGATCAACAATGGCGAAGAGGATAAAGTAGCTATTGAATAGTTGACTGCGGACTTTTTATTTTGTTTTCATCCTCTCACCACCGACGGCTCAATGGCCGCTAGCGATCAGTCGCCCTGTTACACACCGTTGTCATACTGGGCATCACTGGCTCCCAGAACGTATCAACCCTCCACCGTCAAGTCTGGTCTTGAAAAACTACATTCGGCGCCGTCACAACATTCTCAGCAGATTGTTCCAAGAGTTCTCAACTATCACTCCGAAAAGTTACCCCTCACAGTTTTCTGCCCGGCACAAACCTTGAGCTGTGACCCCTTTTAGACGACGTCCGCCAGCTCAATAAGGACACTGACATATTGTTTTAAGAGATGTTTATACACCCAGTTAGAAATTCCCTTGCACGTCATAGCATAAACCAGGCACTTAGACGCCTAATCTCTGGGTAGCTAAGGTCTCCGAAATGCAGTCACCAGTTCGTATCTTTGACATTTCAATCTTGACAGTCCCTAGCATATCTCAGACAGTACTGACAGGGGAAGAATCACTCAAAGATTGTTACGAGGACGGACCTTCTAGATATCTGAATGATTCCTTTTAAGACCTAATAATTTAGTTACCTAATTCAACTACTACCCGCAATGGCCTGAGAACTTCAGCTCATTGTCAACACATACACACCTATGTCCTTTCACATTGTCTCAGCATTAGATTTCGTCCCGTTAGCATGATACGCCTCTACCGTTGGTAAGTCCCAAATGCATCCTTCACGCTTCGTGATATTGAATCTAAAGTTTCATTCGACCATTCTGAAGCTCACAGAGGTGCGTCTGCAGCTTCACAGTCTGCTGAGTTCTAATTTCCCGAAATAACTTAAGGCCATCAGCAAACATTTGTATGGAAGTGTACAGCATCAGGCATGTCATTTATAAACAAACAAACAACAGCGGCCCAATACACCGTCCTGTAGTACCCCCACTCTGACGGGTACACACATGATGATTTCGTGCCATTAATCACCACAAACTGTTTGTGGTCATGGAAAAAGTCTCTGATGACGACATTTCCGAATCCCGTCCCTTCCAGTTTAATTTTCAGCCTTTCATGTAATACACTGTCGAGAAAGCCTTGACAAAATCTAGGCATATATTTTGGATGTACCACCCCCTGTTCAGAATTTGGGTAAACATCAGTGCCTTGGGTAATTGTAGCAGGAGCGCCCCGCATAAAAACCGTGTTGGCAATCCTTTACAAGGTTGTTTCGTAGTAGATGTTCCACCATGGCATCTCTTATAATGCTCTCAAATACTTTACATACTATGCTCGTCACCGGTTTATAGTTATTCGTGGAGTGACGGTCGTCCTTCTTGGAGATAGGACTCACACAAGCCATTTTTCATTCACTTTTCCTCATCCAGGCATTTACAGAACAGGATCTTCAGGGGCTCAGTAAGTTCGTTGTACATCTCTCTTAGCACTCTGGGGTGCACCATGTCGGGACCGGGACTCATATGAACCTTTAGCTTTGACAATTTATTTCTTATAACTTCTTCTGTGAACACAATGTGGGTCAGCGCTGTGTCAAACCATCTGTCCTCAAACGCAGGAAGATTGATCGCATCTTCTCTTGTGAACACCGAGGAAAAGAAACTGTTCAATGCGTTCAGCTTGTCTTGGTCAGAATCTGCGTAACTACTATCTTCAAACCTTAGATCCGATACTCCTACTCGCGTTTTTAATTTCGACTTTGCATAGCGGTAAAAAGCCTTTGAGTTTGACTTGACCTCGCTTGCAACCAGCCTCTGGAACTCCATTTCAGCCCTTGTACACCCTGACTTTCCTTGGTTCCTGGCTCTTGCATACATCCTCCTGTCCTGCTCATTGTTTGACCTTACCCATGCCTTGAATTTCTGTGTTTTCTTAACTTTGTCGACCGGCGCATGGTTCATATGGAGAAGTCTCCTTGTATTCCTAGAGGCACTGAGTTTGTTCGTGTGTTTATATTTCTCGATCAAATGGTTCACTTTATTGGCTATGGTAGTGTCTGCGTTCTTATGCCTCAGTGAGTCAGGCCAGTGGATACCCCTCAGCTCCTCCCCCATCCCGTCGTAATTTCCTTTATATTACCTTGGCCTGGTTTTGTCGTGAAATAAGTAACAGTTAAATCTAAATGACAACATTACATGGTGGCTGGCGCCAACTGGGGCTAAATGTTCCCTCGTTTGTTAAGGTGAAGTTCAGTGGCTCAGTGTTTGCTTCCCTCTAATGCGTCGGGTCTTTAACATGTTGGAGCAGAAAATTATCACTCAGGGTTTCTACAAAAAGAGTAACTGGGTTATTTAAGTCATTTGGCGTGAATTCATTTCTCCAGTCGATGTCGCCATAGTTAAAGTCCCCCATGAAAAGGAGGTGGCTAGGGTTGAGCATCGCTGCGTTGTCTATTAAGGCCCTTAAGTTCTTTTGGTTGAGTAAGCTACAGTTTCGGGATCTGTAGATACACTCGCCAATAAGTGTCTCCTCCCTTTAATTTAATTTTACACCACTTGGATTCTTCAAAAACATCCTCTTCCTGTACCCTCACCTGGCTGGCTCTAAACAACTGTAGATAACCACACCCCTCTTGTAAGTTTCTTGAGAAAGGTTCGTAAATAAGTCATATCCGTCAATACTGAAGTCACATTCCTCTGGGTCGATTCTCCTGTCCTTGTACAACAGTTCTACAACTTCTACTATGACGGGTTGGTGTACCTTCAGTAGTGTTTCAAACTTCTCTCTCTTATCAAGGAACGTGTCAGCATTAGTGTACATGACATTCAAGCCGGAATTTGTTCTCGGTGACGTCTCTGCTCTTGGTAGACGCCGACCCCCCATTCTCAGTAGCTGCAGCATTTGCTAAATGCACTGTATTTTGCAGGGTGTGGTTAGAAATGTCATTGTATACACGGTGCTCGCCTCCTGGGTGGGAAGTAGAGCTGGTGCCTCCTGGTAAAGCAGGTGGAGGCCTGGAGGGCCACGCAATAATAGTGTACGATGCCGTTTTCTGGACCTACACCAAGCATCTTCGTCTGAGTGTGTTTTACCTTTATTATTTATTAATTGTTGCACCTAATTGTATTATACGAATTTTTCGTATTAAATATACCCAAAACTATAACAAATAATTTCTTGAGGTAGGGAAAGGACTACTTGTTTTGTTTACTACAATAAAGCCTCACGTCTTAAGTGTATTTAAGGTTGGATTCTACAAGTGGTTGTAAATGCAATCAAATAAGACAAACTTTAGCCAAGTTATTTTAAAGATTTCTTACGTATTAGTAAATGCTCATTTGTTTTACTCCGCTTCCTTTCGTCTATAGCCAGTCATAAACAGTTTTACAGTATAGCCAATGTAACATTTAAACCTTTATTTCATATTAAATTTTCTTGTTCATCGGCAGTAATATAATATTTTTGCACATTGTTATTCACGGTCCATATGACATGTAAAACATATATATTCCTGAAAGGTAAACGTAATTATTTTTAGTTTCTAAATATATAAAATGAAGACATATGGCAATGCGAGGCGTTGTATTAGCGGTGAGATGTGGCAACAGTGGGTGAGAGACAACAGAAGTAGGGTAAAGATGGAAGATGGTTCAGTGTTGTGGTGGAAATGAGCTAGTGAGTAGCGCACGGCTCTGAACTCTGGCGGAAAATCATGTGTTGTGACTTTCCCAAGGAAATGGTGACGACAGAAAGATGGGCCACATAAAGAATATCAGTGAACTGCTTCCCGACGAGCCACTGAAGGACCCGTTTGAAGATGAGATCCACTTCAACAACACAGTCAGGGAATACATTGTGAGTACATTTTTTGAATTTTTCTAATAAATATCTCTAAACTAAATTATTTTAAATGGTGTAGATATTAGGAGGATGAATTGAACGAGAAAAAAATGGATCTTATTGATTTTTCCCTACTGTTTAAATGGTGTATTTGACATTTTTGAAGACAATTCATTCGGCAGATTTAAGACAGTGGAGACTTTCTGTATGTGGTATGGGCGTTTGTTTCCATGCACAGAATATAGTGGTAAATATATACAGTGACTCCGTGGACTTAGTAATGGTTTATATTTCCTATGGGACTTTCACTAAAGGCAGATGACAGTACTGTACTGAATTTAGTTCCTTGCAAACATGTTGAGGATCAGCATTATCAGCCTCCAGCAATCAACAAATGTCTGATATTACCCGGGTAGCTGAAGTAAAGGTTCATTACCGGGTAAATAATCACTGCCTTTTTTAATGCACAATATATACCCAATGAGGGATCAAATATATATATATATATATTTTAATTCAGTAAAGAAACTTCAAGTAGATCAAAGCCCATGCCTTTATTTTTAAGCAAACACTGTCAAAGATTTTGGCATGATAAAGAGAAATGCAGTGTTTAGCATTGAGTTAGTGATAATAATTTTGGCGATGCTGGGTTATGATGAACCATATTTAACAAAGGTGGGCAGGGCTTCGAAGCAGAGTGAAAATGTGGAATTAAAAAAGTACGAAAAAAAAAAGCCTTAATCTAACCTAACCTGGTCTTTGTATTCACCTGTTGGGTAATTAATCTGCAAACACTGGCATATAATTTAAGATTGTAACCCTACACCAGCTCAAGATTTAGGCTCGTAAGTCAGTGTTTGCGGAATATTAACGAAAACCCACACTGAACTACTGTAGGTCTGATTTGTTAAGAAAACCAACACCTCAATGTTTAAGTTAGGATGCTGGTTAGGTATAGATCTAAAAAAAATGTTGATTTGACCTAACCTACATTATTTATGTCCATGGGAGACTTGGGACATCTCGGAGTATCAGAAGACGATTAACGGAGATAATGAGAAATTATTCATCATTTAAATAATACTGTAGTGTAATGCCCACAGCCATCCTGGCCATAATCCCATTAAAGTCACACACAGTCCCTGCTTGGTCGTGGTCAAATTATCTCTTCGTAAGTATATTAACTTGTTTGTGTTACATGTCAGCATTACATGCTATGCACTACAGCAAATGCTTATTGAAAATTATTAAGAGAGCTCGGGAGTATCTGAGCTTCATGCTTAAAGATGAGGTGATAGGTTTGATGCTTTTGTTTCTGGCTATAAGCCAGAGGAAATTTGTTCCCAGGCATGGAAAATGAATGGTAGATTCTACCATGTTATACTATGGTACCTGTGGTAAGATTATAAGATTAGTCACGTATATTTGATAATTATCATTGGTTCCATCCTTGTTATTATTGTAATATAAAATGGAATACTGTACAGTATGCAGTACATTGTAATTGCTTCACCAGTAAGGAAATTTTTGTTTGCTTTAGCACAGCAAAGATGGCTTACTCATGCTTGTTGCATTTCAAGGAATTGTATTAAGTTTTGCAGTTTGGTGATGAACTGTGTAGTATTGCTAATTAATGTTTATTTTTACAAAAATAATTACTAATTAAAACAAGTTCAAGCTTCCAAAGATTAATATTTTCATACATAGCTAAATTTTGTTTTGGCTGAGCTGACCAACTTTGCTCATATTGTAGAAGAAACTACATGTACAGGACTGTACTGTAGCTATGCACTGTATTGTACATACTTTGGTACTGTACTGTAAACTAATTTTGTATTTTATTTTTATTTTTTGTTACTGGTAGCTGCATTAATTATACATAAATAGTAAAATATTACTGTACTGTTTTGTTTGAATTATTCTGAAGTTAATGTTATTTTCACTTGTAGCGTGAGAATTAGGACTAGCAGGATATGTGCTGTCTGGTGAGATAATATCATACTGCTTAAGTGGCAAGTTGGCTATATTGATAAGTATATAATTGGACAATGATAAGCATATCAGTCATCCTGTATTCATTCTGTATTTAGAATTATATACAGTACAGTATAAATCTTAGAGAAAACTCTTTTAGTTATGTAATTCATATGATCAGTACAGTATATTTACCAGAATATTTCTGTTACAGTATTTAGCTTTGGGTTGGGTTAATTTGGAGAGAATTGGTAGGAATAGTTCAGGGTTAAATCTACTTAATTGCAGTAAAATGTTCTTTGCTCAAAATATGACCAATATTGTACTAGTTATCGTGACTGTACGGACACTTGACACTACCGTACTGTACATTGGAACCAACCGTGTATGCATACAGTATATACAGTAGCCAGAAAATCTAAGAGGTGTTACTAAGATCATAGACTGGATTGAATTAAAAGCTTACATTACCAGTGTCCTTGACTCAGCAGGAGGCTCTAGGCATAGAGGTAACTTAAAATTGAAGGGTGAAGAGTTTTTGTTGTCAAGCTTAAATATTTACACTCAAGAGTTCCCCTCCCCCCCTCTTTTTTTCTCCTTTTTGACATTGGCTGCAAGATATCATTAGGACCCTCACTTCAGATACTGTACAGTCATAGAGTGGAACTGCTCTGCACCTGCCCTGATATTATCAACAGCATGGCATTTTTATGTGATTTGGGGACTGGTAGCTATACTGGTACACAACAAGTACAAACCCTACTGATATACTGTACACTGAGTGTACAGTACATCTGGTAAGTACTGTGTGATGTGCTTTATTCATGTTATTTGTATACTGCATTTTAGTTTTGTATTGCATTGTAAGAGTGCTTCCATTATGGCTTTAAGTTGCTACTTAGGCATTGAGTTGGCCAAGCACTGTATAGTACAGTTCTTATACAGTCCTGTACGCGATACGTACTGTAATTATCAGTGTGTTGATCAAGTATTTTGACTATAGGCTAATTCCATGACAGATGCAACATCTGGCCTGAGGTAGAAAGCAGATACAGTACACTACAGTACCTGTAGTTTGGTTTCTTGGGAAGGAGTTGTTTGGGAGGAAAAGTTCACATTGGACATTCATGTTGTGCACTATATCTACTTGGAATTATCAAATCTATACAGTGCATCACATTGCTCTTTTATGGTTTCTTGTGTGTTTGTCCATGTTCATTGGTTGAACATAATACAGTACTGTATACTTAAGCAGCTCTGAAAACTGGCTATACAGGTACAGTGGGGTATGCTATAACGAATCTAATTGGTTCTAGAACCTTGTTCGTTATAGCATTCGTTCGTTATAGGATTAATCCGTTCCAGGCCCCCAAATACAACCACTCAACACTGAAAAATATAATATAAAATTGTAAAAATTGTAAAAAAGTGCATAAATATGCATCTAAACCCCTGAAATAAAGAATATCATTAATACTTGTAATAAAAAAACAATAAATTAGTAAAAAACAAAAAAAAAATTTTTTAAATAATGTTCGTTGTAGGAGTTTCGTTCGTTATAGCATTCTCAATTTTATAGGTAAAACCGTTCGTTATAGGAATATTCGTAGTAGGATCCGTTCGTTACAGCATACCCCACTGTATAGAACTGGCTTATTTGATGGGAACAATGAATTGATTTCCTTACCGACTTCCCATATTCCCAGTAAATTTGGTCTACCCCTTTGTACCACAGAGGATTTTTTCCCCACAGGATCTTGTACTCTTCAGGAGAGCTGATTGGAATACTGTACTTGTGTGTTTCTTGGTTTCATATACAATATTAAATTTACTCATAAGGGTAATGTATTATTAATTTACGGATATGTCAGATGAACAGGTGGTGGTCAGCCTGAAAGCAACTAGGCTGGTGGTAGGTGTCTCATGTCACCATTTGTCCTACAGTGTGTGTGGGGTGAGTTTGCTGATGTAGGATTTAATTTTATTTTGTCTAGTGGTTAAAGAGCTCCTGCTTTCGATGTGACTCACTATTACCCTGGAAGTAAATTGGTTGTAACTTTCAATGCTTATAATAGTTACTTAGTTTCATTTTCCAAGCATTACCATAGGTGAATTAATACCTCCCTAGGGAATGCAGGGGTTTTCCCCATGTTTACCTTGGATTTTAATGTGTCTATTGGGTCTAAAGTGTTTAATCTCTCATAGGGACTCGGCCGCTGTTATCAGATGAACTGTCGTTGTTTGGTCTAAGAGCAACAAATTGGTTATATACAGTTCACCCGCCTTAAGTCATGGGTACAGTACAGTATTAACATTTTACAAATGCCAGATTTTATTTGTCTGTATTTTTCCAAGTACAGTACAGTAATTTGGGTGATTCTTAGTGTATATATAAATGACACTTGCTAGACCTCTCATTACTGGAAGTTTTCTTTAAGCTGAATAAAATTGTCAGTTAGTAGCCAGAAGAAAATCCTAAAGTGTCGAGAGCACTGAATGAGTTGATACTGTACAGTACTGTATAACTAAAAGTTAAATTTCTACTAATTATTTAGTTGAATTAGCCTGATTTACAGGCTTTAGGTTGCAGTATGAATGCTTCTCTGCTTATACTTGAAGCCTTCCTACGTGTTAAGATGGGGTTTTAATGAGTCTTTTGTCACTTGTCTACTATAGACTTAGGATATTTGAACTGGGTATGTATTACTTTAAGTTAACTTATGCCTGGCATAAGTTATTAAGAGGATTGATCCTGAAGTCCCATTTTATACCAAAGTAGTGATTGAGCATTTCTGTATTTTTCTGTCTTCCCTTTAGGGTCCTGAGGTGAGCTGGATTTGGGAGTTGATCCTTGTGATATTATTTGAGGCATCGACTAAAGCAGGGGCATAAGTGCCAATCTGATATTTTGAGATATTGACAATTAAAGGTTAGCTATGTGCACTTGACTTCTGGCATAGAAGGAGCATAAGTGCTCTGCCTTGTTGGGATAGGCATTCTGCAGACTTAGTCGCCTGGTTTCCAAAAATCATCAAACACCA